CAGTTCGGCCCGGCCCGAACCAGTCCAGCTCGGTCCAGAAGCCCCGGTTTGACCAAACGACGAGTTCGTTGCAGTACGATTTACTATCGAAGGTCCGAGACAATCCGACGAGCCCGAGAAGAAACCGAAAAGCATTGATGAGGCTAAGTCCGGTTGCCCAACGGACTCTGCGGTTCAGACGATCTCCAACGGAGGAAATCAGAAACGTATCAGAGTCGTCAAAAAATTTAAACCGTAAGTCTTAATCCTAACTATAGATTCTGTTGCGATAGGATTAATTATTAAATAGATATGAATGTGCACATAGCCGACGTTCCTAATAGAACCCAACACAATATTCATGAGGAAACCCTCGATCCATCTACCCAACTCGTCACGAAGCAAACCTCAAGTACTACTCAAGCCCGTGTTGTTATAAACAACTCCGTCTGAATTCACTTTGATCCACCCCGATGCAGGCGGGGTCCAACGAATCAGCCGCGTAACATGCACTCCAGCCCCAACCTTTCTGCTTTGCATATTAATAACATCAAGTGTTGATGTTTGGTTGATTATAATAATGTCAAAGCAAATACATATTAATAGAAGTGGTGATAGTTTGGTTGATTATAATAATAACATTAAAAGCAAATATGTGTGGATTAGGTTAAATAATGCATGTAAAGAAAATAAGCATTATGTTTCATGTTTTGATTTGTCTCATGTATGTTTTATTAAAAGCATCTGATCATGAAAAAATGTGATTTTGGAAGCTTATGGTTACATATTTCAATGTTTTGTGCTTTTTTCATTGCGTAGTAATTTCCTAAATATTATTTACATTCAAATTAATTAACATCAACCTATTTGTATGTATTTTTGTGTGCTTGTTGAATTCTAGTTTTATGGTGTTGCTTTACTCATAATGCTACTTGAATATTTTTCTTGTGAAGAAGATAATGTAAGTTGGAGTCGTTTTGGTCAAGAATATGTTTCTTGTGAGTAAGATAATGTAAGTGGAAGTCGTTTTGTTCTAGAATATGTCTTTGACAATATTGCTCTAGTTAATTGAATTCTATTAGAACATTTTTTGATGTATTTGTAAATTTACGTAGTGTAGCAATGGTAGATTCATCACAGGGAATTGAAAAAGTTCAGGGATACAAAAATGCACTTCCGAAGAAGAGAGTAATGAAGTGCTCAGACTCATAGTTGATGTAGCGAATCTTGGACGACGTGATAAGTCTGAAATTGAAATTTCGACTGGTAAATGTTTTTCATGTTTTTTTTTTCTTTTCTTATCGAGATTGTTTGTTATAAATTGTTTTTCTCTTGTCTTCATTCTTGCTTAACGGATGGTGCTTAATATCATAAATAATATTTTAAATTAATATTATAATTTTTAATTACTCATTTGACTTTATTGATATTAGTTATTATGCACAAATTTTATTATGATCATTTTATACAAATTTAATTGTTATATTGATATGTAAGTCCCAAAAAGTTGACATTGAAAGTCTTAAAAAGTCTCCATAACAAATCTCACAAAATCCACAAAAGTTGCATTAAGTCCACAAAAGTCATTAATTTTAAAAAGTTTTGAAAAGTCCTTAAGAGTCTTGATTGAATACACCCTTTAAGATTCTCTCTTATGGGAGCGATTCTCTATTCCCTCGTTGAGGATTACCAGTTGATCAGGTAGCAGGTGAAGGTATTTATTGTCTTTGTCATTTAGATCTGGTTGGCTCCACGTTTTCTAATTGCTGTCTAGGGTTTCTTCCCCTTTTTTCTTCCCCTTTTTTGTGCTTCTCTTCCCTTTCCTCTGTGCAGATTCTACTGTCTATAGTCCTTGATTTCCTCTATTGCTAGTATGGATAATCTGGAAAACAAGCTCCGCTCCTTCTCATTATCGACGAGAGAAGCGAACATTACTCCCTTCCAAGATACAGATATTCGTATTAGCGAAGATGAATGCAGTAGGAGCCTCTTTGGTAAAGTTGTTGGAGATAG